GATAGATAGATAGATAGATAGATAGATAGATAGATAGATAGATAGATAGAAAGAATGAATGATGGATGCATGGGTGGGTGACTTAGAGTAGAGGGACCAATATGAAATAATGAACATGTTAACAGACTTAAATATATGGACAAATAGTTTCATAAAAATAAGTCTCTTTTGGTATGTATAGAATTTGAGATTTTTAGGAAGTAGTTGTATATAATGAGTCTATGTAATACTTGACCCACTTTTAAACTGGAGACACTTTAACTCTGCTTCCAGCATAGAGAGCTTGTCCGGGGGAATTTTTACCTCAAGTCCATAATAGTAATAGACAGTAGAAGCTTCAGGTGAAGGGATCAAAGGCCTATTTGTACAGTTCTTTATAAGGTCCATGTCAGCATTGAAAAGATAATGTAGCATTAAAAGTGGTTTTTTTTTTTTTTTAATTTGTTTCTTTGATTTTTAAAGTGGATACAATGCTGTCTGGGTGTGGCTAGTGCCTTTCTTAGCCTAATGGTGTTCTTTCTTCCTCACAGCTGTTGCCGCGGCTGCAGCTTCAGCGAATGGAGCAGCTGGTGGTCTTGCTGGAACCACAAATGGACCATTTCGACCTTTAGGCACCCAGCAGCCACAGCCACAGCCACAGCAGCAGCCCAGCAACAATCTGGCTTCCAGCTCTTTCTATGGCAGCAACTCTCTGAGCAGCAGCTCCCAGAGCAGCTCCCTCTTCTCCCAGGGCTCTGCCCAGCCTGCAAACACGTCCTTGGGATTTGGAAGCAGCAGTTCACTTGGTGCCACCCTGGGATCAGCCCTTGGAGGGTTTGGAACAGCAGGTAGAAGTGAGACTGAAAAGCTGTTAAAATAAATTTGAATGAGTTTTATAATCTTTCTGGAACCCTGACAATGCATGGCAACCTTGTACAGATACCACAGGAAGATCTGGACCAAGTCCCTGGCCATCCAGCCAGCCCACCTAACCTTTGAGATGTTGGACTGTAGAAAATAAGTTATGCAGCCAGGGCCTCTTTCAGGTCCATGCTTATGTTGCTACTTACTTATGTTCACTTTGTCAGTTTGTTTCAGGCATTGAAAACTACAGAGAGAGGTTCTTCTAGGCATTAGGAAACTTGCGGAGGCAACTGTAGCAATGTGGACATTAAGCTGAGGGAGAAGGAATCACAGAAGGTCACAGGGCTGGGTGCTTGGCTTGAATATTTTAACAGTTAGGAGTCTAATTCTTTGTCTTGAACAGCATTAAGGGAGATGCTGTGGAACACTGGGAGGAGGATGCTAGACCAAAATATTTCTCTTTTGATGGGAGAAGAATGCAAGAATGTAGTCTGGTGGACAGTGGGATACTTGGAGCAGTTAACAGCAGTGTGATTTTAGAATAGAAGGACATGTCTGAGAGAAGGTGCACTAATTGGATTTGTAGGCCAGCAAGCAGTAGCTCCTGGTGGAGCACACTGAAGCAACAGGCCTGCCTAAGAAAGTCCTGTGTAGTGGGCAGCACCCCGCTTGTGCATCTTTTTCTGTTTCATTTTTCTGGTAGAACCTTTCAGTTGCATGAAAGGCATTCTTTCTAGTTCATTTCCTTTCACTTTTCCCATAGCTCATGTGGCCGTCAAAGCTTTTTAACCTGCCCCATCCCATTATATCTGTGACACTAAAGGAAGGTAAATTTGTCATATTTGTGTGATGGCTTGAATAGTAGTTCTGTTAACCCAAGCCATGTCCTCTTTATTACTTTAGCTGCCCTTAGAACTGCTACATTAACAGTTAGGCTGTCTCTGCTGACACATTTGCAGTGGTAAGGAGTCTGGATCAAAGTGTTAGGAACAGGCCACTGGGCTTGTTCTTCAAAGAACAGGCCTGTTCTTATCTGCATTGTTTTAATTCCATTTTAGTTGCAAACTCCAACACTGGCAGTGGCTCCCGCCGTGACTCCCTGACTGGCAGCAGTGACCTTTATAAGAGGACATCGAGCAGCTTGACCCCCATTGGACACAGTTTTTATAACGGCCTTAGCTTTTCCTCCTCTCCTGGACCCGTGGGCATGCCTCTCCCTAGTCAGGGACCAGGACATTCACAGACACCACCTCCTTCCCTCTCTTCACATGGATCCTCTTCAAGCTTAAACCTGGGTAAGAACCATTACTCTAACACCACCTTGAACGCTAGAAATCTCTTGCCACCGATGACATTACAAGTTCTTTGCATAAGCAAAGGACAGTCCCTTTATTCTAGAAGTGTCCTGGTGTTCTGTGCCTTTGGTAAATTCCTCATGTTGCGCAGGTTGTACCTGTAGCTTCACAGCAGTTGGGGATTGCCTAGCATCTCGATACACCCTGTGTATCCACTCCAGCTTCAGTGTGAACATTTACTCTTGGGCAAACACAGTAAAGTCATTGCAGGGAGGCAGAAAGACACAGAAAGAAGAATAGTTACTAGTAAAGCACCTGTGATGACGCTGCTCTGAACATGTTGTTAATTTTCTTTGTAGATTCCTTCCCCCTTGTATAACAGTAGCTTGCTTTTTCACATAAAGCATTTCATTAATTTTTTTGCAAGATTCTTAAATATTAATAAATGTTCTCCAAACCTACAGTTTGTTAATAACTAGATGTAGATACTTTTCCAACTGTCATATACTTAGATTTTCATGTGTGTGGTTTTTAGAAGGTTCCTGATGGCAAGCTTTAAGAATAATATGAAAGTTACAGTAGCGCTAGGCTGGTGTGCCCCTCCCTTTCATTGTTCCTCAGGTATGGATTTCAAGGTACTGATTTACCTTCCAGATGGGGAAAGTTGAATTAGAGAAGTGGAGAACCTTTTATGAGCGGACGGTGAGGTGAGAGTGCTGTTGTTACTTGGTGGTGGTGGTTTTGAGTGAGAGTTACACTTCCTAGACGATTGTGTCCTTGCCCAGCATCTTTAAATGTGGATTCAAGGACTTGGCAGTGATGACTGAATAAAAGCGAATAGCATGAATTCATTTTGAGAGACATTTATGTAAACCTAGAAAAGTTTGATGAAGTCTACAATAAATAGTTATTGTTTTAGAACGATGAGCTTGAAGCCAAGTGATGCAACACAGTATATGTGTGTGGGCATGTATGTGCACACACACCCATATGTATCAGAGTACACATGCATTCTGAAGTGGAGGAAACATGGAATGACATTTCTTACTGCCAGATGAGTAGATGGGGCATGTCACACAGTAGTGTTTCCTAGTAACAGGGAGCCTGGCTGCAGTGTAGAATCAGGTGACAGGCTCAGAGAGGGAGGGCTGTAACAGAATTGTCCCCATGAGCGTTCCTTGTATTAAAACTCTCACTTATGCACAAGAGAAGGGTACCCCATTCCACCTGTGGGAGCCTTCTCAGAGCTTGAGTACCTTGCCTTGCTTGATTTAGATTTGGACAGTTTTTTTAAATTCTAAATCATACACTTTCAGTTTATAATAACCTTTATATGATGTGCCTAGTACGTCTTTTGAACCAGCACATTGTAACTAAATCTGTAATGTTTCACTGAGTTGTTTGTGGTGGAGTTGCTGCTGTTGGCTTGTTATGTATTGTTTTTAGATGTGTGTGTGTGTGTGTGTTTTGTGTGTTTGGGTGTACCTGCATGTATGTTTGTGCACCGTATATGTTCCTGGTATTCAAAGGTTAAAAGGGAGGGTCAGATCCCCTGAAGCTACTGTGTGGATACTGGGAATTCATTCTAGACCTTCTGGAAGAGCAGCCAGTGTTTTTATCTGCTGAGCCATCTCTCCAGCCCAGCCATCTTCTAATTAAACTAGTTACAAAAATAAGTGGCAGCCGGATGTAACCTGTGGGCTAGAGTTTGTCAACTCATGAACTAAGTGCAGTTGCTCTGGATGTGCACACTGGATCTGAAAATGCTTCGTGCAGGAAGCCTTTCCTCTTTTCAGCCTATCTGCAGTTACATATTCTAAGAAAGCAACTCACCTGCTTGATAACTTGTGTGTGCCTATGAATGTGCAGTGACTTTTCATTACCATTTGTTTTGAATCTAATTTTACAATTTTCTCATTTAATGTATACTGTTGAATAAATTTTATTGGCTGTAAAGGTCAATCTTTTATAATACTTACAACCTCTCATACCTATGTGCACTTCACCCCGATTCTCAACTCTAATTAAAATGATGTATTTACTTTGCATTTTATTCTTTTAATATTTGTCTATGGTGCATATGCCAATGGGTGTTCCTTCTGTTTTTGTTGTTGTTGTTGTTGTTGTTGTTGTTTCGAGACAGGGTTTTTCTGTATAGCGTTGACTGTTCTGGGCTTGCTTGCTTTGTCGACCAGGCCGGCCTCAAACTCACAGAGGTCCGTCTTCCTCCCTGAGTGCTGGGATTACTGACGTGTGCCACCACACCTAGCTTAGGTGTTTTTTCTTATTGAGCAGCTTTTCATTTTTGTGAGCTCATTACCTTTTGCTCTTCCACTCATATCACATAGACATTTGTTTCTGCTTTGGCTATTACATGTAATGTAGCTATGAACCCCTACCTGTGACAGGGTTTCTCTGTGTAGCCCTGGGTGTCCTGGAACTCTGTAGACCAGACTGGCCTCAAACTCAGAGATTCGACTGTCTGCTTCCCAAGTGGTGGTATTAAAAGACATTCTTCTGTCAACATTTTAATGCAAGTGTTTCTGTAGATGTACTGTTTACCTAGGAGTAGATTGTGTGTTAGTTTTATGACTTGCCTTTTCTTTTTGTTGAGATAGGTCAGTCTGCCTTTGCCTTGCTAGGTTCTGTTCAATTTTCTTTTGAGAAACTGTTCATCTGTTTTATAGGTTGGTTTCACTTCTCAACAAGAACTCTACAAGGATTCCAGTTTCTCTACTCATTAACATTTTTGTCTGATTTTGAGATAGCTGTTTTAGTGGACATGGAGTAGTATCTCATTTTGTTTTTAATTTTTTCATTTCATTGCTGACTTGTGATCTAAAGCATTTTGGGAGAGGGTTGAGACAGAGTATTATTTACAGCCCAGGCTGTCCTTAAATTTGGAACATTCCTTCCTCAACCTCCCAAGTGCTGGTTATCTTTGAGATCTCTCCTCATGTGTTACATTCATTTAAACTTTGGGTTATTTGAGTTGTAAGAGAGAGGACTTAGTATTCTCCTCTTTTGGCTCTTCCATTTAAAAAATCCTATCTTCAAAGTGAATCAAGTTTTAATTTAATGAAGTTTCTTTCTTTTTGATTTTTCAAGACAGTGTTTCTCTGTATAGCCCTGGCTGTCCTGGAACTCGCTCTGTAGATCAAGGTATTCTAAAACTCAAAGATCTACCTGTCTCTGCCTCTTGACCACTGGGATTAAAGGCGTGCGCCACCACCTGGCTTTACTGTTTTTTGTTTTTGTTTTTTTTTTTTAAGATTTTTTTTTGTAATTTTAAATTTGTGTGGTTGTGTGTGAATGTATACATTGAGTGCAGGTACCCTAAGAATCATGGGTCCATGGAGCTCTGCTTGTGAGCTACCTCATACGAGCTTGGGAACAAAGCTGGCCCTTTGGGAGAGTAGCAAGTGCTTTATCCCCTAGGGTTTTTTGTTTTAATTCCTAAATTTAATGTTTATTTTGAGTTAAGGTTTCCGTCTTGTTGGAAAGGCTTTATTTTGCCATGTGAGTGATTAGTTGTTCCAGCATCATTTTTTTTTTTTTTCCAGTAAAGTATACTTTTCAATGTGTGGTTTGGTTGCTACTGTAAGTGGAACTCTGTTCTAGTTGATTGTTTTGTTACAGAAATACATCTGAGTTTTGTATACTGTTTTTTTTTTCCAGAAAAATTATTGTTTTGTTTATTCTAATGATCTTAGGTAAATTTGCTAGGATTTCTATATAATAGATTAGAGAGGAGCATATTTTTGGCTATATTCCTGGTCTTGGGGATAATATCTGGTTTTTTTTTTTTGCCATAGAATTTGTTGACAGTAGGATATTGTAGTGGACCTTTTATGAGGATGAGAAAGCTTCCTACCTGATAAGTTGAGTTTTTGTTGTGAATGGGTTTTGGTGTTGTCAAGTACTTTTTGTCTCTGTTGGTCATAATTGGATTCACTTTTGAAGATTTTGTTGAGTTATACGTCTGTATTCATGAAGTATATGTATTTTTCTTTTGGGTTGTAATGTGTTTGTATCACATCTTGTCAGGTGGTATTGACCTGGTTTAAGTATCCTGCGCTTTTGTAATTTCTGAAAGTTATGTAGTACTGGCCTTATTTTTTCTTTAATCATTTATAAAATTCACCAGTAAAGCCATTAATAAAATTTTTAATAACTAGTTTACCTTTTTTCTTTATGTCTGGGCTTTTATGTATAGTTTTAGTTTTTGTCTATGTTTCCTCCCTCCCTCCCTCCCCTCCTCCCCTCTCCTTCCTCCTCTTTCCCATCTCCCCTTTCCATCTTCCTTCTTTTCCTTCTTTTTCCCCTTCTGGTTTTCAAGACAGGTTTTTTTTTCCTGTGTAGATTAGGCTGTGCCATGTGCCCCCCCCCCCCCCCCC